GGACGAAACGTTCAACTGATTAATAGATTGTTCATCTAATTAAAACCTGTCCAAAAAAAAACATCCCTAAGAATTAAACTTAGTAATTAAAAATATTTTTCTATTTATCATTTTTTTCTTTTCTTTTATCTCTTATATAGAAGAAGAAGAAGAAGAAGAAGTAATGAACATAATTAAAAGAAATACGAGGAACGCGTATTTGCAGTCACGTGACCGAAAAATAAGAACAAGGTGCGAAGTCGAAAGTCGATAATGACGGGGATTAAAAATCATTCTAACAAAAAATTAACGATTATTTTAAATATGTTTTTATAAATGACTTTAACTACCGATTAATGATCGTAAATCTATTCCCCCACCCCTTTCTCTCTTTATTTCTTTTTTTTAAATTTAATTTAATTCCTTTCGCGTTTACTCACATCGTAAATGGAAATAAACTTGATTTAAGTGAGTTACCTTAGAAAATTTCTCAATTAAAATTCTTTCAACGTTTTTATACTTAGTTCGATAGAATGTGTAGATAAAAAAAAAAGCATTGTCAATAACAAAATCAGAAAGAAAAAGAGAGAGAGAGAGAGAAAGGAATCGATGTGATAAAAACTGGAATCAGTAAGGTCAGTCAAAACTGGAACGCACTAGTTCACCGGTGTGTTTTACCGTCTTTGGTATCACCAACCCTGTAAAAGTTTCTTCGCAAACAATACTAACGAAACGACGATAAATAAATTTAAGAATTCAGGTACAAAAATAAGAAAATTTATTTCCCTCCCCCACCCCGTGTGGGGTCCTTAAACGCGCTAGATTTACAGGATAATTTTGTTCATTATTTTTTAATGACTTACAAACATTGCTTGAATAAATGGGATTGAGTAAAACAGAACAGAATTCATATTTAAGTATAATAAAAATCAAAATGTGAAAACGAGTCAAATTTATTATTAAAAACAAAAGTTCATGAGTTTCTCGATGATAATTTTGATCTGAAATGAATTACAACAAACGAATCAATTCTTTTTGTTTCCATTACTTACCCACTTTTTATATACTGATGCATCCTATCCCACCCCCCACCCCACCCTTAAACAGTTAAAACGAATTCTCGTTTTATCTTATCTTTCTCGATTGATTGATTATTATCGTATTTATATGAACAAATATTTCCAATTGATTAGACCTTTTTTGTTTGCACTTTTAATAGTAGTTTCTTTCACGAGATCATCATTTTGTAATCAGAAACACTCACACGCGCACATATACACATATAATGTTTTCAGGAAAGTTTATAAGAAGATGATAATTATTTGTGTCATTAAAAAAAATACGCGACAGACAGCTAATAATAAATCGATATATTATTATCGAATATTATCGAAATAATTGAAACGTTTGAAAATGTTATATTTCCACGTGCACTTCTCTTCTATCATCAAATCAGCTGATCTCACTGACAGTTCTTGTTTCGTATACTATACACCGCACACAGTTTCTTTCTTACACTCGTTCTATTTCTCTCTTTCTCTTTTGTTTTTGTATACTCAGACGATTTATGATTTGTTTAAATAACGAAAGTTATACGTGAATTTTTTTATTCGAGTTTCATTTTTTCGTACGTAAATATTTTTCAAAATTATATATACAAAATTTAATCAAATGATTTTTATTAAGTGTTAATAAGAAACGTATATAAAGTGCATATGCATTTAAATATATATATATATGCATACAAAACACGTTTTATTTGTTAACAAAAGAAAAAAAAAAAGAAATAAAAATGATTTTCCACGTGTCTTCAACGTAATATATAAATATCTTATTATAGTAAATATATATATATATATATATACCCCCCATTCGTTTGTGATCGTACAAATGAATTCGTTTATCTTTATACTCGTACGCTCGATTGTCTATAAAATGATAATATACTCATTCCGATAATATCTGCAGTATCCTGATTAAAATTTTGGTGAGTGTGTCGCCGGTACGACGTAATGCCAACGACTGCGTCTGGATTAAACCGGATTTCATGTTAAAAGCTAGTTTTGACGTCCTCTCTGTGCACACGGTACGATCGAGATCCTATTCTACCTTGATTTTATGTCAGAAAACTACATTATCGACCTATAGTATTACCTACCCACCCATCGTCTGTAACATATCGACTGCAGAAGAAACGATTACACGAGTTTTCAATTCTTTTATCAAATAATCTTATCAATATTACATTTGAAACGTTTTGAAAAGTTAGATGAGATTACCTCATGTTATAGGAGGCAACAGCAGTAGCCAGATCCGAAGCAGCAAGTGCGGATAATGATCCATCAAAGTCAGCCAGATGTTCTGCGAGTTCTTCCACCTGTGTGGACCAACCTTGACCGGAACCATTGCTTCCGATAGATCCTACGAATAGAAACAATTATTTGAATATTTTAGTCTATTTTCAACCCAAATAATATGTTAAGGGAAAATAAAAAAGAGTGATCACTGATAATATAAATGAAACAGTTAACTAGCATCTGTCCAAATATTCTAACACTAATCATACCGATTTGAATATTATTATCACAATTAGAGGCATGATATTGATGATGCATCGGACCGATTCTCTCTTTGATATCTTGAGTGGGGGGATAACGTCGTCTGTTTTTTAATGTTATCGGGGAATAACGTCGACTTTCGAAATACGGCACCCTTGATCTTTCAACTTCACTCCACTTCATTCTACTTGACACCGCGTATAGCAAGATAATAATATAACAACAACAACAACAATAACGACAACACCACCAAAATAATGTATTTGATTTTACTTATTATTTCTAAGCCCTTTTTTTTTAAGAAGAAATTATATCACGTATAGAAAATATACACTGCCCGTTGGATTTTCTCTTTCTCGTTTCAACAGTGAACTAATCTGTTCGATACACTATGTACTCGAAGCAAGAGTTATCATTACGACTTGACCACGTGGGCGAAAAGGCGTCGGATTTATACTAAAAAGTATTGCGATACTTTTCCAACAATGTTCAAAGAGACTAAAACTTCGTGCATTGACTAACAGTTATACTAACACGTTACACATTTATTCAATTTCGCATAAGTTTTTGCTAATTTTAACTGGAACTCATACGTATCCTGTATTTGGGATATACCAGATAACTCGATTAACTATTATAATGCAAAGAAATGAATATAACATATCGACTGTTGCTACGACAATGCAATTGGGGTCGTTTGGCCACGACCTTTAAGATGATGTATCTATAACAACTTAAAGATAATGACGAATGATTCGAAGCTATTGTATGGAACATTAATTAATAAGAGAAATAATGTAATCTCATTTTCTAAAGGAAATAGAATTATTCTTATTGTATATAAAAATCGATGATCCTATTCGCGAGGATTTTTAGGAAGATGTTTCGTCCTCGTTTCATCGCGTTGCATCGCACATTGCGTTGGGGAGGAAGATGCCAATTTCCATTATGCGAAACGAGATTTGACGTATATTACTTGTATATACGTATACAAACACACACACAGATATATACACATACAAGATACGAGGATACGTCGATAAACGTTCCCACATACATACGTACAACATACATACATCCATGCATACATATGCAACACGTTAGCGTCTGCTCGTCGGTAAATTTGTAGATGCGAGTAGAATTACTGGAACGTTATGACGCTAAGACGTAGTCGTAGTCATCGTCATTCGGTAAATTGATAATTGACCTGTGGAAGATAGCATCATCGTAAATGCTTCAACAATGTTGAGCCGTTTGATGAGGCTCAAGGAAGAAGAGGAGGATGAGGAGAAGGAGGTGTACAATAAAGCCCCAATACAGGTGATTTCATTCTAAATAGAATAAAAATCTAATATAATCTTTTCTAAGCATACTACTGACCGTCTCTTCTAGCATGTTTCCTATCGAGCTCAGAAACGTGCTGTACACCAGCAACAGCAGACTCCTCGGTAGCACCAGCAGCAACAGCAACAGCAGCTCGACGTTTTAAATTGTTATGCTGAGATGGACGATTGTTAGTTTGCTCGGAAGACGATGTCACGTGACGACGTGGTGTTACGTTGTTCGAGTCTATTTGATCACCCTCATCCGAACAATTTTTCATCGCGTTTTGCTTATCTTGCCACAATGTGGTATCCCGTGAATCATTATAACCGACTGATGTCTAATAACAAATAATAAAATGATGATAGATTTATCAAATTAAGAAAATTAACATTTTTAGAGAAAATATTTTGATATTGTTAACTTACTTGTTGAGCAACGATTCCTCCATCGCATCTATTTGGGTGATTAGGCGATGATAATTGTTCGTAAGACGGTGATGGAGTACCGGTAAACCACATGGCTTCGTTCAGGGTTTCCGTACCGCCATCCATTATGATTTGGAGCTCCATTAAGCAGTCTCAGGGATTATTAAATCAATGCTACTGTGATAATGTAACCCGGGGATTTCAGATTTTATCTAGCTTATCCTCTAGGATATATAATAAACTTAGTTGAATGAAGAATAATAATAATAATAATAAGACTTAAGTCGGAAGAAAATGCATAAATCCGTTGGTGGTCTTGTTGTATTTTATTTTAATCAACATAATCGATTATTATCATAAAGATATTTATTGCGAACGAGGGGTGAGGGGCCAGGAAGATGAATTTTGATATAGTGTTTGCGATTATTAATCCAAGTCGCATCTCTCTATTTCTTTCCTGTCTTTTTACGTTCGATCAAAAGTTACTTACAACTTTAATTACATCGAGTATTTCATTTAACTTTCGTTTATCATTTCGAGTATCTTTGATTTTTTTTCTTCCTCCGGGTCTTAGGACACTCCTTTGGAAGCGAACGAAAACGCATCACCCGACAAACTTGAAAAACTTTTAATGGTGGTGATGGTGGTGATGGTGAATTTGTTGATGTTTGTGTGTGCTACGAGTATTATTATATTTTCAAGAAAATTAATAACTTTCCCTTAGAACATCACGAAGAAGCTGTTGTACAATTTCTTGATGCCGGTTGTCTCACGCTGCCGATGTGTTTCCAAAAGTGCGCAGCCCCGCGACTTGAGCGACAAAAAACGTGAAAAGACGACGAACGCGTCTTCGAATACCATTGCCACACCTTGGGTGCAATGCATCTTGTTTCTGCTTAAGTTCTTTTTTATCTATTTTTGGGTTTTCTTTTTCTGTTCTTTTCTCTTGTCTTCTCTTCAATTTGTATTTCCTTTTATTTTATCTATAATCTTTGTTTTATTATTATTCACGCAGTATTAACACAGATTTATTTTTCTTTTTCTTTTCTTTTCTTTTTTATATTCCTCTTTATCTTTTTTTCTTTTTCTTTTTTTTTTATTTTACTCTTTGATTATTATCTTTATTATTATTATGATTAATCTTGCAAGAATAATATCTCCGACAAAAAGAAGACAAACGACGATAGTTCCTATTATATAGTTCTTCTTCTTCTTTTTATTCTTTTTTTTTTTTTTTAGTTTTATCTAACGACTATTGCTCACACATTGGATAGTGTCTTGTTTGTCAAAGGCCTCCTCACGTTATCACCACATTTTCAAAATTCTTCGCTCCATTACGGTGACGAGAAAAACAACCAAAACCAATGGAAACTATCTCTTTTTTTCTGTCTCTCTCGAAATGGGATCGAAAAAATGTTCTCCCGTATTTTTTTGACGACACCACCCCACTGACACTCGTCAGATCAATCCTTTCCACAAATTACGATTGATAATAATAAGATCCTATTTTCTTCTTCACGTAGCAAGTTGAGAATTTTCTTTCGGATTTTCTTTCCTTTCTTTAAATTATTATTATTTCTTTGTTGTCCTTTTATATTATATAAAAAAAAAAACTATCAAAGTCTTTCAAAAAGCAGGAGCCAGTAGATAGCCATTCAGTCGATATTATTATTATTATTATTATTATTATTGGTATTTAGGTGACAACAACAGCAGACAACACAGTCAACAGAATTTTGTTGATTTAATTTTGTCACTAATATAACTTCGTATTTTTTTAGAAATACTTAAAAGATAAATCCTTTTTCTTGTTTCTTTTTTTATAGATAGAAATAAGAATGATATCGATCACTTAGATTTGATGAACGATTCTGATGATACTGTCTACGAGGAGAGTTTTCGAATGAGTGTTGTAACCGTCGTCGTTTGTTCGTTCGTTTGTTCGAAAAGAACAGATCTCCAATGGTAACGTAACGTATTAAAAGGCTGACCAATAAGACGAGAGCCCGAGGGTCGAGACGATCGTCAATTGGAATCACTCAGTGTTGATGAGCAAAATACGACTCTGTTCTATATATTATGGAAGTCCTCCGCGTATTTCAACTTGTTCGGTTTAATTATTCTTTTATTTTATTATATTTTCCTTTTGCAAATCCGTATCGTTTCACTGGTACCTGTTTGCTAATGCTGTTGTTACTGCTGTTGCTGCTACTACTTCTACTGATGACTATGACAAATAGTATGAGAAAAAAATCAAAGAGAAAGATAGAGGAATATATGTGCGAAACGTCGTTTGTTTGCTATGCAGATTAATTATTTTCTCGTAACGTTATCTCTGATATCGAGAATGAAAAGTTATATAGGCTTGTTAAGATCTCCCACTTCTTTAATTCCTTTTTTAAATTTCTTCGATATTCGTTTCCTTCCCTCCCCTTTTTCTTTAGAATTTTCATGAAAATCCTTTCAACAAGATGACGACAATATCTGTAACAGAAAGAAACAAATTCATTCGGTCGTATTAATTAATTGCGAAATCCCAACCCCATCCTATCATCAGGAATAGTAAACAACGTTATTTAATAAAATTTCATTTATTTTATATGTAACAACACGCGAGAGATAATAATATAGATTTATCAATGAAAAACAATGGTAACTATTTTATCGGACGAAATTTTTTTTTCGCAAATTTTCCGTCCCCTCTTTCTTTTTTCTTATAGCAAAACAAAATTTGCCTTATTCCAACACGTCTCCGGTGAATCGTTAACGATTCGACTCCCATAAACGTCTAGTGTATCTCAAGTTTTTCACTGATTGAAGTCAATTCGTAGGGTCATCGTTTCCCTCTACGTATGTACATATACGCTATTCGCTTATACGAAGAATAAAATGTTCGTGGAATAAATATATTGTTAGTAGCGTGTTTGTACGAATGCATAATAAAGATTACTCCTCGCTGGGATGATCTTTTGTTAATAAAATTATAATAATATTCAAGAGAGAATATGATTTTCAACGCGAAATGACGAATAAATTAATATTAATTATGATTAAAAAATAATCTGTTTAGTTTATCCTGTTGATTTTTCATCATTTATGTTTCTTTTTTTCCCCTTTCCCCTTACCCCCTGTCTCCCCGATCACCAACACTACCACAAACATTTCTAGGATTTAATTTCAGTTGCATCTCACGTAATAGCATTACTGCTGCATCGTATCGTTCCACGTTTATGATGTTACTATAGCGAAAATAAGTAATAACATATGGAAAGGCGTAAGAAAAATGATTTAACTTGTGTTTCTTCGACACGTTCGTTACTTTATTATTTAACAAGGTATGCAAAGTTGGTGATATATAGACGAAACGAATCTAAACACAATAGAGAAATAAGAATTTCTGTATAATCGTGGAAATACAAAGCTTCATTGTATAAGGAAGCAAGCACACAAATGTTCATGGAATACATCATCGTATATGCATATACCGCATTCATCTAAATAAGATGAAGAAGAAGAAGAAGGAAATAGGAGTAGAGGGTTCGATAAAAAAATTATTGTAAATTATACAAATACACCAAGGTCACTTTCATATTATTGATCTGAACGCGATTGTGCATAAAACACGTTTTTCTTTTTAAGCTATCATTCATTTGCACTTGTTATAATAAACTGGTCGTAAGATGGATTGAATGTTTAACCGTTGTGTTTGAATAAATCCTTTATCCGAAAGATCATGATTTATTATACATGAAACGTTAATCGAAAAATATTGTCATTCAAATTTGAATAATTGATTCGACGTTTTTAAGTTGAATTTCTTTGGACACCTCTTTACAAGTTTCTTCTAATATTCCACTCCAAACTTGATATCTATGATTAAGTCCTGGAACCGCGTGTAAAATCCCATTGGATCCTAAAACACCTGTTTTATCGTTAGACACGCCGTAAAATATTTTTCCTACTCTGGAATGAAGTAATGCCATTGCACACATCGGGCACGGTTCCATCAGTAAAAACACCCAACACCCGGTACATAAATACGGACCAGATTTTTCCTTCGAATTTATATTCACGTTAGAGTTTGCCTTTTTAGAACCGTTATTTCGTCGACCTTGTAATTTCCATTTAGCATCGAAAGATTCAACATTTGGAATTCTTACGTTGGACAACAATGTTTTCGGATAACAAAGCGGTGCGTGTTCCTCGTATTTTCTTTTGATTATTTTCATTCTTTTATCAAAATTATCATCGTTATTTTTATCATCAGGTAATTCAATAATATCATTATTTGAATATAATTTCCAAGCACCACCGCCGTGTAATTTAGCTACCAAATCTATGGCCAACATAGACGCATGCCACATAGGATGTTGATCAATTTTTGATGCAGCTATAGCAAGTATTCTACCATCGTTCTCAGGATCTACTATTACCGCGCTACCATTGCAACTATCATTACCAATAGCTTCCAATTTAGCTGCAGTTATAGCAACGCTCATATACTTTTCTATTCCTTCTAATTGATCCTCGTTGAAAATCGAACCATCAATAATAGCCTCGAGAAAAGGATCAGGATGAAATCTCAACGGCCAAATCTTTGATGCACGTGCGGCCTGCGTTTTTGATTTTCCACTGGTTCCTGGAACTTTGATAACTCGCAAATCATCTTCTAAAATAGACAGATCAAATTTGTTATCTTTTAGAAATGACTTCAATCTATCTTGATTCGATATAATATTATCGTCATTTAAATCGAATGATCTCACGGGTGCCAGAAGAATTTTATTGGCCGAGCAACGTTTCAAGTGATCGAAATATGGCAGAATAGTTGATATGCTTTTAATAGCTGTTGCAATATTCTTCTTTTCCTTCAGGATACCAACGTAAGCATCGATCATGGGAAGATCTTTCGTTATTTCTGGATCTAGAATTGGTTTAGGTGTCCAGGTTCTTCTGACCAATTCCATCCTGCACTCCTTGCTACTCCTTGCCGTGGTATTCGACATTTTTTTTTTTATATTTTCCCCCTGAAAATACGCTTTGTCTTGATTTTTCGTAAGAAGTTTCATATTTTTGTCCATCGTTTATAAATATACATAGTTAACAATTATATTTCATTAATATGATATTAATAAATCAGGATATGATTAATGTTTTATATTTTTTTGTGTGACTTACAATTAATATATTGTTATAATTATCAGTACAAATACGTTGTACGTATGATAAGATGGAAACTAGATAAATGATTGGCAAAGAAATATAAAGGATAATCCAGGATGATCGGTTTGCGAGAAAAAATCTCTAATCCGAGCATATCTTCGTGTTTGAAACAAGTCGAAACGATTTTAAATTGCTGTCAACTTAGGCCATGGTCGGATCGATTGTCGGAGTTAAGTATAATTCTGTTGTAACGTCGTATAGCTCGTGTTAAGAAGAAAATATGGGTTTTCTCTTTCTTACTCGCGAAATAATTTACGATGGATAATACTTTTTTTTTCTTTTAAATTCACGCAAAATGTATAAACTGGATATCGTTTCTTTATTTTTAGCACGATAATTAATTCGTCAGTAGAAAATCTTATGATCCAACGTTAGATTTATAAAAAAAAAAAAAGAAGATGTTAATTATCGCGATGATTCGTTCCAAGTGATTTTAATGTGAGACACGTGAAATTAATTATTTCCTTATGAACAAAATTAATGACTATAATTCATTTCGAACGAAATACAAAGGTACATTTTTTCGCGATCGAATTATTAATTAATAATCGTTAAGACAACGATAACGTGAAAAAACAATAAGAAAGAAGTTTCCGTACGATCAGAATCGATGCTTGACGTGCATATATTATATACATTTAAATTAAGCGCCACGATTGACGTCATTCAAGATGGCCGAGTTATGGCACATTCGTGAAGCGTGCTTCTTATATAACGAAAAAGGGAACAACAAGCGGTTTCGCGCGACATGCCAAGCACAAAATCCAAATAATGCAGGTTTGTTTCCATTATATTTCCTATTAATTATTTAATCGAATCGATTTATCGAAGATAAATAATAAAATATCTAACTTTACACGAGAAGTAACCTATCCGTAGATACGATCTGTTAGAATAATTGACGAATATAATAATCGAAGAAATTCAATAGTACAACGAGTTAACGCGGCCAATATGTCCACGTCTGCTGGCCTTGAAACTAACCGCGTGTCAACCTAATCTTCGTACGTTCACGAATCCAATTGTAAGTAAGTAGAATACATAGTTTTAATAATCCAACAATGTCACTGAATAATTCTTCTATTCACGATTGGCAAATCCCAACTTTGTAAGTGCAGGAATTATTGTGTGTATCCACGTAAAAGAGAAAATAATATACTTACTTGTTAGTATTCGCGTAACACGAATGATGATCCTCCTTAATTGGGTCCCTTGTTGCGTGTCTGTAGCTTTATGGTGATCTTGAATTTCTCTTATGAGGAAAAACGAGAGAGAAAGAATAATTATTCTCTCTTTTTTTACTTTTTTTTTCACGAGCAACAACCGACGACAATGATACTTATAACCAATACAACCAAAAAATAATCCGAAACACAGAACGATTACGACGATGAACGGAAGGAGACACAACAATGGCCCGTCGTCCTTGGTAAAAAGAATACTTCTTGTGCACACTAGGGGGAAAAAACAAAGGCACCAATCACGATTCGAATCGCGTTGCACTGGATGCAACGTTAAGGGATTCCTTGCAGTATGATGCGTTTAAGGAACGTCTACTTTACGCCTATCTTTTTCCAAGAGCTTACGGTTTATCGTACTTACGATCGGAACGCACTCTAGTGACTAAATTTGAAAACTCGACATGATGTTTGTAGGTAGGTTAGAGCTTTGTTGGGGTGGGGGGTGAGGAGGAACTTCTTCTATCACTATCTCTCTTTATCTCTCTCTATTTCTATCTCTTTTTACTAATTCTATCCCTTTCTCCTATTTTATTTTACTTTCATTTTTCCTTACGTTCGACTACGTCGACCAGGTGTCTTGTTAAACGCAACGATTCAAATTAAATATACATATACGTTGCATGGTTTTTATATTTATTTGTATTGTTAAATTGAACCCTAAAAGTTCGTACGATCTTTTGTTTTAAATTAAATATTTCACTTGCATATGCACTGTAAATGTATATATAAAACTAATGGTAATCCTCTATTTAATTTTAATATTAAATTTTCAAGAAAAGTTAGCATACGTTTCGAAATATTCTATAAACGCTAATGCCGCATCGTACAAATATTCCATGTCTTTCTGTAAGAGAAACATTTTCCATTGATATTCCACAGATATATATATATATATATGTACATAAATAGATTTTTTAGGAAGATATTTATCATACTTACGATAGATCGAACGAAATCCGGTCTGAATTGTCTTACCGTTCTAATTGCTAAACAAATATCGCATTCCCTTTCTAGGGCCATTCTTTCTAAAAGAAAACTCATTGCCAAATAAATACCGCAACCTGTTACACCGTCGCTAAAAAATAATATATATATACATATACCTATTAAATCTTTTCTATATTTATTTAGTAGGGAAGAAAAAATGATGAAATAAGATCTAAACAAATCGTACTGGCATAAAACTGCTGTAGGACTATTGATTCTAGCAATACGACCTGCTGCTTGCCACAATGTAACCAAAGTTATAACAGATGGTGGATCCTTATTTTTCCCAGCTTCCCATTGTGTGCAAGTTAATATCGTAACTGGTTGTTCTCTCGTAGTTTTCTAAATAAAAAATAAAAGAAAAAGGAACAACACAATAAATGCACGAATTTTAGATTCCATCCTAATAACACCAATCCTTTTCACTGATATCAATTACCTCTGAGTTATCGATAAGCGTCAATTTATTAGACATGTAATATTCCGTTTCCGAAAGTTCTTTAGATATTACATTTATATAAGGTGTTGGTTTAAATTCGTTGCTAGTTGGTATCAAGGGACAACAAGTCTGAAAAAAGGGTAGATCAAGTTTTACGTTATTACATGTTCAATTTAAATTTGTAATGTTATTTTAAAAGTAATATAATTAGTTTGAATTAGTAATGTTATTACTAACGGGATCATCGGGATCAGGTGGTTGTAAAACAACGATGAGTTCAATTTTCAATTCGGCAATCATTCTCCAAAAATCACCGAATGTCGATGGCATTGGTAATTGACTCGATAAATATTGATTTTGTTCTTTGAATCCATTCACGTAAATTGCAGCTATGTAATCACTTTCCTCGTCATCCACTGGATATCTTTTTAAAAATACTTGATTTATTGTATCTAAAAATTATACGAACAATAATAATAATACGTTAATAATTATATCGTGTGTGTTAAACATAAAGATATATATATATATATCGAAATAATTATTCGTTGAAAATAATAATCTAACTTGATACTAATTCTGGATATCTATTCTTAGCTAGATTAGATTCCGACAAGGAAGTTTGTGAAACGGGTGGCTTAAGGACTTCTATTTGCCATGCGGTATCTTTTAATCTACAAAAGTATACCCAATTTTTTATATATAAATTTATTTATAATATATAATTAATTATTATATATTATATATATATATATTTATATACACCTTCGAAATTGTATTTCTAATTGTTTCTTCAAATCTTTGATTTTTGTTGGCAATGCATCGTTGCAAGGTAAAGAAGTTGGTAAAGAGAGTAAACAATCTATTAAAACTAAATGAACGAACAAATATTGTTGCTTATTGTCTACCATATTGGCTCTTTCATTTCTGATCGATTGCATTTCCGAAAAAACGTTGACGACCTATAAAAAAAGAAAAGTAAAAATCGATCCTATCATCAGAAATGTTTAATAATTTTTGTAATTATTCTTCTTTTTTGTTTTGTTTTTTTTTTGGACTTACCCCTTCGGCCGCTGCACGTCTCAAACAAATGTCGCATAAAATGATTGTACCGGATCTACCAATACCAGCGCTACAATGAACTACCATTGGTCCGTTTCCAATTTTTTTAGCTAATATTATTTTTAAAAAAGTTCCAACGGAATGTATGTAAATCGGTACACCATGATCTGGCCATGCTGTGTAATGCAAATGTTCGATCTGGATTTTGAAAATACGATTTTTAAAACAACATAGAAAATGATCTTTACAAATTAAATTTATCATTGGAAAAAAGTTTATGCATTTAATTTGATCCTAATCGAAGATTCAATTTACCTTACGGGTTTCGTCATTACACGTTACGTGTAAAATTCTAAAAGTATAGTCAGCGAAAATGTTGTGAGTTGAATTAAAAACCATAATGTCACCGTATTTCTTCTTTTTACCAATATCCGGCCAATATTGTTCACACTTGATCTATGAGAAACGATGTTAAACTTAACGCAACAATTTTATTAGGATTAGAAACAAAAGTTCGTGCATTTTTTTGTGCTTGTTTAAGTATATTTTTTATAGTTTCGAAATAATATTTTAACGCAATAAACGAGCGAACTTTTGGTTCCATTAAAATCAACAAAAAATTGTCGTAACCTTGTTTGAGAACAACCAACCTTTCCATTTTCAATTAGATTAGTTAGCATACAAATAACGAAGACATTTTCTTGCCAGATCATACGCCAAAAATCTACAATCGTGTTTTTTTTCGGTCCTTGTGTAGCTATGTAACGTTTTTCCTTTTTGTAACCCTATTGTTTGTTTCCCCCCACCACCATCCCCAATGTAACATTTGAAAGTAAATAAAATTCTATCATCAATTACAAGTTTCTACGATGAGAATAATCGTTTTTTTTTTTTTTTTTTTTTAATGAAATCATTCTCTTTTACCTTGATGTAATTGGCGTTGATGTAATCGGAGAAAGGGTCATCCTCGAGTTTCTTCAATACCACACGTGTTTCGTCATCTACGTATATATATATATATAATTAAATGTTTTTATTGAAACCGCTAAAAATGATTTTAAATATTACCTACTTACATGCTATAAGATTTCCATAACGATTTTTACATTTATTTTGCGGTAATTTGCCGCAATCCCAGGACTTTGTTTGGCCTCTTGGAAAAGACTTGAACAAATCATTTTTTTTTAATTAATATAATATATATGAATATATATAATAATTGTATATATATATTATTAATATAATTAATACATAT